TACTTTTTTTGAGTTCCAGTCTCTTGGTCTCAGAAGAGAAGAATGAGCTACAACTCCCAGAAGACTTCATTTTTCCATTTTCTGTTTGGAGAGGGAAAGATATAACAGACTGGGAGTCATGAGACTGCCCTCCATGCTCCCTGGCCATCTCACCTACAGAATGAGAGTATGGACTTTGGTTTTGGGAACTCTGTCTCTTTTGCATTTTATTTGTTTCAATTTCAATCATATTGTATTATCTAGCTTTTTGTCCTTAATCTCATCACCACTGTTCTTTCTCATCCAGACACATCTCTCTGCCCTCTCCCTTTTTCTCCTACACCCCCCCTTCCTGGGGCACGGATCCATGGATCTCTTCACTTGTCACGCAAACCAGGTCAAACCACGACAGACCTGGTGCACAAAGACCAGTACTCTATAAAACAATAGAAACAAGCAAGAAACAGGGGAAGGAATCAGCTTTCAACACGCTTGTGCTAAATGACCAACTAAAGCACCAACCAGAATTTCAGTCTATAAGAAAAGTTCCGATGGGACCACTTTCAGGTCCTAATTTACAAGAATGGACATGGTTATCAGAGAGAGAAAAATGAGAGACTAGTGAGAAAAGAGAGAATTACAAGAAAAGGAGAAAGAAAAAGTATAATTGCTTTCCCAGCCTAAGACCAATTTTGGATAGAAAGTTCTTTAAGACAGCTATGAATTCAACGTCCATGTACTGGACTGTGTTTAACATCAATGCCTTATGACACTTTCTTGGCAGCAAATATGCTCTGCAATATCCCTTGTTTTCAGCTGTTCAGAGAATTGTGAAAAATGTCCCTTTGGGGATGATGCTGTCCCAGCTGAAATACAAATTTCAGTGGAAAAGCTCATCAAAACCCATTCGGTCACTTTGCATTTACATAAACCGGAAAAAATGGATTTCCTCACTGGGAATAAATAGCTGTCATGCCCACACCAGGACAAGGAAACCCAAAAGACCGAATCTGAAACAAGAATGTACAGACATACACACCTCTGCAGATTTCTGCCAGCGTGAATGGACCAATATTTGTATCAGAAAACCCACTGCCATTAAATACACCGTCTTATTTCCCAGCAGTGCATTTCTTATCGAAAATCCCCAATCCATCTCCACATTTGCTGTGAAGTTAACTCTAACTTGCCTTCTCTCAACCATACCAACAGACACACCATCTTTCCTTCCTTACCTATCTGTTACAAAACAATCACGATCAGTTCCCAGAAAGAGGCGTGAATACAGAGCAAAACGAACATTTGAACATGAGTATATATAACAAAAACATCACCCATCCTTTGTGCAACTGTCATTCAAAAATTGAGTGAGAAAAATTCTTGGGGAGCTTCTTTCACTTTTTCCTGAAAAAATACTTGCACAAGAGCCAGATGACTGGGAAAAGACAAGAAAATGTATTACCAAGTGTGTGTTATTTCTAATTTCCAAATGATTTAATCATTTCATCTCAGAGGAAAAATAAAGCTGAACCAATAACTGTAAAGCAAACTGCACAAGTGATTCTTGGTTCATACATGCTTGCATCAGCAAATGAATATACTGTGCAGAGAAACCACAATCTGTTTACCCAAAAAAATTTCACACACAAAAAAAATCTCACTTCACAGGATAACTGTTTGCAATGAATAATTCAGCCATCTGTCACGTCCAGCTGGGCCCCATTCGTATTCCTCACATGGAATATCTCCTTTCTTTTCTTTTCTTTTCTTTTTCTTTTTCTTTTCTTTTCTCCCTCCCTCCTCACCCCCCCTTTAAGTGTGACCACTGAATGGTACCAGTTTGGCAGACTGTAAGGTACAGCACATGCTGCCTCACCTGAGCGAGCTCTGTGCAGTGCCCAACCACCCATGATGGGGAGGCTAGAGGTAAAAAGCAACAGGCAAGGTCTGAGGAACAGCTCTGCAAATTGCATGCCCTGCTATCCTCTGTTCATGCAATCGCTTGAGTCGGAAGAAGCCTGCAAGGACCACTGAGCCCAACTCCTGGCACCACACAGCACCATCCAGATTTCAAAACCTCCTTCTGACAGCGCTGTCCAAGCACTTCTTGATCTCCAGCAGCACAGGGATGTGCCCACTGCCCTGGGCAGACTGTTCCATGCTCACCGCCCTCAGGGGCACAACCTTTCCCTCACTCCCAGCTGACCCTCCATGACATCACACACTACGCTATGTATAGTAGTAACCAAAACTGCACGTAAGCTGAAATCAACTGTTCTCAACTCTGTTTCTAGTAGCACACATATTCTTCAAGAATGCTTTCTCTGCAATACCCATGTTCTACCTGATTTTCAAGTGGTCCCGTTCTCTGTACTCTCCAAAACTCGTCTACCATTGAAGGTATCACCACTGAGATCCCTCCTTCACAAGACACAACAGTAGCTGAGTTCCATAAAATTGCTCCAATGTGACTGTAAGAAAAATAGAGCCTTAAAAAAATCATTTGGGATCCTGAGACAAAGCACATCAGATTTTATTCTAATAGAGCCTCTCTCAAAAGAAAACGTTTAAGGCTGAACACAATAGTAGAACTAATTACCCAGGAAAACACAAACAAACTGGTCTTTGTCTATCTGCCTGCTCTGACAAAGGCTGAACACAACGGAATAAACACTTATTTGTTTTCAGGAGGGCTGTGGCGGGTCTCAGAGTATTTGCACCCTCCATTTGCCCAGGCTGTCAGCACTGCCCATGCCCCATTAAACACATAGGCAGAGTTTATATTTTCTTTGGGGAAAGAAAGAAGATGTGGTCAAAACCCACTTTGAGCCATTTATGGGGAACGCAGCAAGTAGTTGTTCTAGCCCATCAAGATCCATGGAGCTACGCTCATCAACAACTTTAAACTGTACTATATCTTCTTGGTTTGTGAGTTTTCTTAATCATATCTAAAACGTTTTAGTTTGCTTTCCATCAACATCTCCTTGTGCACATTCACACTGCTTCCAAGTATTTCTCTCTGGAGAACAAAAGCACAGATAAATTGCCCCTGTATGTTAACTTCCTCCTTTCTCTTTCTCTCTCTGTACCTCCTTCAACACCCCCTGACATGCTCTAGCTTATGCTTGCTGAATCACATGCTGGCTGCCTGATTCAACCCCTCACGCAAACTGACCAGGAAAAGCTTCATAATAACAAGTTCCTTTCTAAAGAGAACTACACTCTTGGTTATAACAAGTCACTACAAATACCATAGCAAGAATACTTTCTCAGTGTTAAAAGCACAAAACCCTCCACCACATACTCACTGTATTTTCAAATATTAAAGACTTCATGTTCTAAATATAGAAAGGACAAAATAGATTTCAATCTTCTGCTGACACTGCTTCAATAAGGGAATAACCAAAGTAAAGCAAATATATTCGTAAAATCTAGCTTTTGCTTTTTCAAAAGCAAACAGTATTAGCAACATAAGACATCCAACCAGCCAGACAACATGAACGAAAGTATCATAAGCTATGTTCTTCTTAACCAGAACTGCAGCTCAAATCAGCTAAAATGGAAGAATCATTTCTCTTCACTATGATACAGCCCTTGTGCTGTATCTCAATAGTAAATCTTTTCTCCATCAGAGACAAATGTGAAAGTAAACATTATTTAAAAACAGTTATTAAAGAGCTTTGATCTGCATCTCAAAGAGGCCTTTCACCTATTTAAAACAGAACAACTATTTCTACAGTGCGTGGAGACCTTGATATGTCTCATGCGTACTCTCCAGTACATAATTATAAAGATCAAAGGTGACACATTCGTTTTGGTAAACTCCATAAGCAAACCTCTGAATACAGAAGAAATCCTTGTTTTGTGGCATTTGCTCATTCAGCCAAGCATCACTCTACATAACGACTCCATCCTAAACATGGCAGGTGACTGGACATCAAATCCTCATTCTAATATTGATACAGCTGGTATTTTATTACCACAAATGCATTACCTTCAAATTATACAAACCACTCTGGAAGGAACCCAAAGGTTTTTTTTTTTCAGAGTATTTGTAGCATTTCTCCTGAAAAGTGTGTTAAAACAGCAAAATCGGAGACGGAATGGAGGAGGGCATTTGGCACAGTAATAGCTGGTCAAAGACGCAGTCCATTTTATAACACTTCAGGGTCTCTGGAAGCAATTTGATACCCCTCAACTTACTTGCAATACTTGCTTTTATTCCTTGCGTACATAAGCTGTGGAAATAATTGCTGTGCACTGTAAATGCACTGTGATATGTAAGTCACATTTCACAAAACTATGCAGTTTTCTACCAGTTGATGAGGATCAGCTACCAAAGATGGGAAGATACAACGCAGTCCAATAACATGAGAGGTATGACATAAGAACAACTATTCCTGCTACAAGTTACACGTGCTCAGCACATGAAGCTGAGCAGCAGCATTTACATCAAATTATTTTAGATTGCCTCTTCACATTTTGCAAGTACTTCTGTACCATACCACTTTCTCCTTCCCCACATGTAAGAGGGGGCATTTCAAAACGTTCCTTCTGTGTCCTCTCAAACAAAGACACTTAATTGGTTTTAGCAGGGACACGGACACTATGTACAGTGCTGCAGAAAGGCATTGAGAGAGGACAGCTCAGCTTTGCCTCCCTATCTGATGGCCTTGCTCTCTGCTGAGAGGAGACAAGCAAACGGAAACACAAATCTTGCCCCTTCTCAAGGACAATGACAAACAGCCTCTGGAACATGCTGAACTGCTGCTGTTTTCATAAACAAAGTCACTCCTTAAGTGCCAACATGTGCTAGTCACAGCCATGTTTAAAGGAAAAAAAGGAACAACAAGGAAATGCCCACTGTTGTGATTTGAATGATAGGACAATTTCGCATAGTTTAAATTGCTTGAAGAGCTCCATTCGTTTAACAGAAACTTCCAGGCAGAAGAAAGCCAGCAAGAAGCCTGCCATTTTTGCAACCATGGGAAAAGACACAGGTAGCAGTGGGAAGCACCTACCAGGTCATATGCAGCCAGAACCTTTTTCTGCACGTCAGGCACAGTCCCCAGAGGCTCTAGGTAAGGAAACGCGTCCTTCATACAGAGGGTAACAGAGGGAGCATTCTCACTGCTTACGAGCCGCGAGGACAGGGTCAGGATGCACTGCTTCAGGCTTGCGATGGGTGGCAGCCCACACAGCTCTTTGACTGACACTATGGCATTCTGGGGGAAGAAAAAGAAATAGTTTTGCACAAATCCTCACCTGCCATTAGTTCCTCACCTGCCAGCATACAGTCATTGCCTTGGGGCTTCCCTTTCCACCACACATCCAAATATAGGCGCAAGCACACCTTCAAGCTCAGAAGGGTCATGTTAGCATTTGCAGGATTTTAAGAGTTTTGCTTTCATACTCAAGACGTTGACAAGACAACATTGCCAGGACTATTCCCGTGGCTAGTTTTACAGCTACTCTGCATTGCAAATCCAGCCCCCGTGGGGACAAGCTTTGGTCCCAAGTATATCAAGCTACCAGCCTAAAATACTGTTTCTCTTCTCAAGTGTTTGGAGTCCAATTGCTTTTGATGCTGTAATCGCCTCACTCTCCTGTCATTATCATCCTCCAGCAAGAACAAGTTCGACAGACATATTTCCCATGGGAAAGGCAGACAGAAAAAACATACTTTGTTTTCAGCCCTGCATTACCACACCATAAAGAAATACAAACATTTTCTTCTTAATAGGTCACATGTAAGAAAAATCAATACTGGATAAACAGGTCAAACCCAACTAACATATGACAATTTATTTATTTATCGTCAGTGGATGTATGGCTGACTCACCCTCAATAATTTAGCTTCTCAAGTCATACAATCTGTGACCACAACACCAAAAAAATCTAAGTGAGAGAATAATGTAACAGCTCATAACTCACCCCACAATGTCTTCCTGAAAAAAGTCAAATGCCCAACTTATTAACAGAGAAGTCTCTCATTAATCAAATGCATTAGCATGCTGCTCAATCTAATGACAGCATCTTTACGGAGCCTTCCCAAAAGCAAGATCTTGTACTGAAATTTTGTTTGGCAGGCAGATTAATGCTATTTCTGAGTTCAAGTCGAAGAACATTTTCATGTATATAATCCTGACCTAGACAGAAGGTGGAGCCAGCAGCTCAAACTAGCTACTTTCAAGGCTTGCAGGAAAGGCTGGGAAGAGTTTCCCATTCTTAAAAATATGCTTAGACTAATCCTTTGGGAGTGATTTAAAACTTATGTCATTTTGTAAACTTTTCTAGCTGCCAACATTTCATTTGCTTTAGACTCCATCCAGAAAAGTGGGGTCAGTGAAGTGATACGCATTTTTTTTACTGTTTTCAAGACAGAAAAATGAATTGTTTATTTATCTTTACCAAGGAGATAGACAGTTGTGGCTGATCTCAGTTTCTCATTAAAGAAAACTCATTGTTTAATTGCTCCTCAGTTTTGTTTCTAGGCAGCGCATGGACCTCTGAGCTGAGCTCACGCTTACCAAGCCTGCACAGCTGCCCAGCACACAGAAGACAACACCCTTGCTGTGGCAGCACCTCCTGCTGCCCACAACAGTATAACCCAGGCACTTACACACAGTGAGCTCTGGCTGCTCTCAGAGCAGAGCAGGCAAGCAGACAAGGTGCCAGGAGAACATCTGAGCCACAGTGCATCACCACTGTCTGGGCAGGCACTCAGCCAGGCAAGGCAACACAGCTATTTAGCAAGGCAGAAATTACAACCCAAGCAGCCTTCAGCTGTGTACATTAAACATTCACAGCCCTTGGCTGAACAGTGGCAACAGGCACTCAGGGCAATGTGCTGTTCTTAGCATGATGGGTTTCTGTGATGCAGACAATACTCTAATGAAAAGAAAAAAGATATATAGCGTAACCCTCATTGAGACAGCAAAGCAAAAGCTTGCTGACATTTTCCTGCAAGAAATGCAAAGAAATGAAGCTTTGAAGACCTGAGGATGTAAATGTATCCGCCCATCTGCTTTCCTGGACAAGGACACCCAGTAATGTGTGTGTTCAGAGAGAACATACTGATTTTTAAACAATTTTGCCTAGCCCCATATCTGCTTATTACGTAACACCTATAACTGTCAGCCTTTTGACACTCAGTTACAAGGTGAGATGGCTGTGGGCCTCACGCTTCTCCAGTTTTCCACCAAGCTTTCCCTGCTGGCAAGGCTCACCAGGACCTCTGCTTCTGCGTTCAGTATACACCAATGCAGACAACAGCCATACCTGCATGTTCTCTCTCATGTCGGTGGCCTCTCGTAGTGGATGCACAGCCAACTTAAAAATGTCATCGATAGTCTTGAGCCCAGTGTTCCTCAGCATGGTGTACTCCCTTGCTTTCTTTCCTATCCTCACTGAGAGGCTGCGCTTTTGGGCCTTTCCACCTCCACTTCGATTGGTTATTGCAATATGAACAAACAGCGTAACGTGCTCCATGATATCGCCAACAAAAGACCGCAGCGGTATGTGCCTGTATCCAGGCTGCAGGCACTCCAGTGGGATGGTGTACTGGCCTATGAACTCATCCCCGATGTAGTCATCGTCCAAAACAACAAAACGGATCATGGCCAACTCTGGTAGATTGATCTGGAACTCAAAGCTCTCATCAAAAATTGGGTTATCACTGTTTTGCTGAACGGTTTTAGTTCTTTGTTCAGTGCAATCTGCAGGAATCCCATGTATTTCTATACAAACGTAGGGATCAATGACATCCCCTTTTGCACACGCACCTTTGGGTTTTGGAAAGTTCTGCCCACTGATTATTTTGACATGTAGAACTTGGGGAGAGACTCCCGGAACAATGCCCTTTGTATTTGCACTGAAATAAGACACTTCTTCACGCATTACTGAAGGCCTGAGAACATACCCGCATCCACCATTCTGTAGAAACCAGCCAGTGTGCAGGTCCATCATGGGCCCTGGAGTCTGATAGTTCATTGCCACTATCTGACAACCACAATTCCAAAAATCTTGAGGATTTAAATTACTGGAGTCTATCCTCATAGCACTGGGGTACACCCTGGAAAGAAACTTTTTGTTGTAGTTGACAAAATCCTCAGGGTATTCATTTGCAATTCGACTGGCTTCTGCTTCACTGAAGGAGCAGATCTCCCAGTAATTTTGAGCTTTCATGGACGTCTCAAAATCTTTGTACTGGACAGATTTGCATAGAGACACCAAGTCAGATAACTCCCTGCACAGCCAGATCAGCTTTGGTTCCCTTGAGAAGTCTTCTGAAAGTCTCCGGGATATTTCAGCCTCTTCATCTTCATCTGTGACTTCCCCTTCTAGTATATCCTGGTCGCAGGGCAGCTTCTTCCCCTTTACAATGATCTTCATTTTCAGTTTCTCAGGTGACGGGAGGTAGGCTTCTGAAGATAAAGGTGTCTCCGTGTAGAGTTTGTTTCCAAAGATCCTTTTCATGTGTTGTACCACAACCTTCTGCTGTTGTACGGAGCAGTGGTTCCCCAAGCATAGAATAAGGGGGTATTCTGATGCAAAGAATGCCAATTTGTTTATCACCTCGATAACATTTTGAAATGAAAGTGGCGATGTCATGTTGTTACGGTTACAAATAATGGGCTCATTATCTGGGCCATCACAGACATCTAGTTCAATACTCCGACAACTCATTTTTAAAGCTCTGACGTAACCATTGATATCAGCTGGCCCTCTGAGCTGGTCTTCAATTAGATATGTGTTGTGGGATGCATTGATGTAGTAATGCGACAAGGGCTGTGTCATGTCTTGGACAATCTTTTTGTGCTCGGGATCAAAAATATCACATTCTGGGGACAGCAAGTATTGAGTAAATCCATCAATTGCAAGAAAACCTTTCAAACGTCCTTCTTGAGAAAGCTCATATCTGCGTATAATATCTAGACACATTTCTTCCGTTATGTGGGTCACTCCTTGCTCAGCCTCTAAAAACAGCATGAGGTCATTGGCATCTAGATACTCTTTGTTTTTAGATATCTGCACAAGTAAGAAATAAACTTCAGGTCTGGTGCAAAGTTCGCAGAATGCTTCGTAAAATTCCTCTTCTGTTACTCGTGTTGTCAGTTTCTCTTTGCTCTTCTGGATTTCCTTGAATTTTAATCTAATTTTTGATTCCTTTAAGGTGGGGTTAAGCTTCTTTATTAGTTCCACAGATGTATCTTCTAACATTATGCCATTACCGTCAACGTCTGCTGCTTCAAAGACAGTTTTCAGCCAGGCAAACCGTGGAGTATTATGGCTGCTTTCCATCAAATCCAGGGGTTGTTTGCTACGAGAAACCAAGTACCTTAATCCCGATACCCAAATATTGGCCACGTCAGCTGAATTGGCAACCAGGTCGAGGGACTCATAGTTCTCACCGTGAATTACCGACAGCGCGCAGTCCTCAGAAATCTGATCTGCAAGTCCGTTATTCCTGAACGTTTCTGTGTTCTTCCCTAGCCTGATTTCTTTTATAGCAGAAATATCGAGCTTGGCTTTCTCAAGGTCCTTTTTGGAAGGCTCCCAACGAAGAGCCTGCAGATCAGGATCCAAAGTAAAAAAACGGTTATAAATCCGGGAATTTGGACGAACTTTCTTCAGTTCACACCCAGCCTGCATAAAGCTGATACAGTCACTAGCGCTGCTTATTTTCTTCTCTGATGGCATGCTGCTGAAGGACACTGTTTTCTTTCTTCCACATTTCTGGTTTGAAGGATCCTGTGAATGATTGCGTTTAAAGGAAAAAAAAAAAGAAAAAAAAAAGAATGATTAATTTTTCTTTGGCCATTCCACAAGTACATAAATAATAGAGAAGATATGTTTATGTAAAGATAATTCACGATCTCCCAAACCTCAAAACACCACACGTTATCCCTTCCCACCATTCAGTTCCCTGCTGAGCTATAAAACAATCATACAGTGACTTGACTGATCACAGCATTTCAGACACCAACTTTCCACGAGTGACATTTGCAGCTATTTAACTCTTCTCCAGATCTCAGCAACTTGCTAGGGGTGTGATGAGATAGCATTTTTGAAGACATGACACATGTCTTGTCTTCAAAAAAGATACGGGAAGAGGGCTTTGTGCAAAGCTCCAGCACCTGCTTAAAAGTTGAGTGGGACTGCATTTACAAACAGGATTTAAAAGATGTAGAAGAGAAACTTTGGGATAAAAAGGCATTAGATAAAGTCTCAGAGTGCATAGGAGGAAAAGGGGAAGAAGTCAACAAAGCAAGGCTGGGAGGCAAGTCCGGGGCAGACCACCAAGCCTGTGCCCTTGAAAACTTGGTGCTCAGCAGATGAGTTCCTGACATGCCTCTGCCTCTTTTCTGTCATCTTAGATATCTTATATAAAATGAAAACAAAGCCAAACAGACATGAGTCAGCCCCTTGAGATACACACTCAGGAGGAATCTGGGCTTTCTTATTTGTATGTTTTAGTATCTTTTGCCAAGGGATGCTCTCACCATGCAGAGAAGACCATCCAGCAGCGTGGCTCTCACGCATGCTTGTGTGACAGCCCCATTTACTCCCCTGCTCAGCCCCAACCTTCCTCACACTTGCTCATCTCTCTATGTGCTTTAGAAAGCAACTCTTCGGGAACTTTCTGAATGCCAAGACCACAAAACACCATGAGAAAATGAAGGACAACCAAGCAAAAAATCTAAAGCCCTTTCTTTATGGCATATTTTCTAGCTCCTTTTGAGGAGACACATGTGACCATCATTTCAGTACCAAGTACCTACTTACTGCTGGATGTAAACCCAGCTGCCTGCAAAGCTTTTTGTAATTTTAGCTCAGCAACTAAATTTAAGTCTTTCTCAACATATTATCAGTTCAAAACATTTCACAGTAATTACAAATTGCAAACCATTCTTTTTCTCTGCATGATTTACATCTAATCCGTTAGTATTCAAACAATCCACCAGCTACAAAACACCATTTTTTAAAACATTGTTCAAGGCTTTAGTTCATATAATTATACACTTCTGACAACTGCTTTCCTGCCAGTTTCCCAGAGATACTTCTCCAGTTCCTTGCCTTCTGCCACTGAAGGGACTTTTGCTGCCTGCCTGGATCTCAGGTGCAAGGGCAGTTCCCAGGTGAGGAAATCTTGGTGGGTGCTGGCACACAGCCTTCTACCCCACTGCCCTCAGGCTCACTCCTGAGAGGCACGCCACAGACCAGCTTCCCAACAGCCCTGGGGACCCAGTCTGAGACACCAGAATCACTAAGTTCCCCAAACCTTTGCATCTTGGACTGCACCATAAGCTAGATTCCTGCAGCTCCCATGTATCTGCTGTATTATTCACCCTTCCTCAAGTCAACCTGCCCTGCAAATCCTAAATTAAACCCTAGCACTAGTCATGCCAACCATCCTCCCCCTTTGCTACCTTCTTGCTGCTCCTCCCTGTCTGCACTCAAACAGGATCTCACATAGCTTTGCCAGCCAGACCAAAAGTCTTGGTAAAGAATGCCTTCACTTGTAATTGGCATTTTTGTATAGATAGTTCCAACAAATTAGTCAGCAGAAACATTACTACAAAACTGCTGTCGTCATCCACTCACTCCATTCAAAAACATCTGATATATTATTCCCAAAACTTTGGACACACAAGTGGACTTAAAGGCATGGGATCTACTGGGAACAAACTCAAAACCACTAAACTTCTTAGGTTAAAGATTTCTCATTGAACTGCTAAAGGGACTTCTCTTGACAGGAAGAATTACTTTAGCCATTTATTGCAGTACTTATAATAAGAATAGGTCTTTCAAGAGAAAATAAAAAGATGAAAGTCAATGAAGTGAGTGCCTTGGGCCAGCTACTTTTCAAATTAGTTTTCTGCTAAAACATTGTGTGGCTGCATTAGCACACATCTGTGGCCATGAAAATACTGGAGCAATATATGTTGATGAACATAAACTGCTCACATTCAAGGGCTTGGTTTTTTTTTTCCCCTCTTATTCACATTTAGGTAACAGTTGATGTACACATCAACAGTTAGACTATTACTCAATTGAGAATTTTAGAAAGGACAAAAGCATGTATCTCTGCCTCTGAGGCATCCAGTATTGATTAGCAACAGAGAATTTGATGGGACATGGAATGGCTTGGGTTGGAAGGGACCTCAAGGATCACCAAGTTCCAACCCTCTGTCACAGACAGTGTTCAAATACTAGACCATGTTGCCCAGGGCCCCATCGTCAGTGATGGGGCATCCACAGCCTCTCCAGGCAGCCTGTGCCAGCACTTCACTACCCTTGCTGTGAAGAACTTCCCCCAACATCTAATCTAAACCTTTCCTCCTTTAGTTTAAAACCATTCCTCCTTGTCCTCCCACTAAGAGAAAGACCAGCTCTTAGAAAGCCACACACAACAGGGTATCCTGAATAAAACTCGGTGAAATGTTGGATCATGTTGGAATGCGTTGTTTCCTTTTCAATTTGATGCTTATTTCTTCTTGTTTGTCTCCATAGCACCTCCAAGCTTGACTTCAATCCACAGAGCACTTTGTCCAGAAATATGCTGAGAACAGTTGCCAGGAACCCCAGAAGCAATTAAATTTAATAATATTTATTAGCTTGCACAGCATCCAGAAAAACAGGTCCAGACATTAGGTTCACAGTCCTATGCATCCTTTTTTTTTTTTCCCCGGTGCATTTTGAATAAGAAATACCCTTCAAAGACTCCTTTCACTTAACACATATAAGCTTAGTAAAATAGCAAGCACAAGCTACGTTTTGTTTAAGAATAGCTGGCATCCCGTGGTTTAAAACAAACAAATAAAACCTTCACAAACACATTCAGTTGAACAAACCTGCTTTCAGCTTCACCCTTCACCACCTTTTTGCCCCTCTCCACACTCAAATAGTTTTACTTCCCCTGTGGCACCCTCCTCCTGTTGGATGGCAGTGCAGGGCCTGCTGCCCCCAGGGTTCGATTGGCCCTTTTGGCCCCAGGGCACACAGCTGGCTCAGATTCACCTGCCATCAGCCAGCACCCCCACATCCTTTTCCATAGAGCAGCTCTCCAGCCTCTTGTCCCCAGTCTGACATATCCAAGTGCTGGCCTGTCTTACATCCGAAAACTGCAAATGACTGTTTTCTAAAGATTGCTGAAGGAGAGATGCAGAGCTCCAGGCCCAAAATAGTAGAAGCTCTTCTGCTGCACACATCATCCTCGTCAGAGGCACTGGCTATGTAAACAGTGGGATCAGGAAGCCATCAGCAGTTGTGGGAAAACTCCACCCTATCCACCCTAACCTTTGACCACTCAATCTTCTGCTGTTTAAATCAAAGAACTAACAGAAATAAATGTGAGATTTAAAAAAACATATGAATAAACACTTTCCATCTCATTCCACTGCTTTTAGCAAAAGGACAGGACGTAAATTGTTGAGTCTGAAGTTAAGAAACAGGGCGGTAATAACGGCTGTAAAACACCAACCCCGCACACGGACTTAAAGCTCATGCATAATTTATCCGAAATCACATTACCTGAAGGACCTCTTACACATCAACAGCATTCCAAGATTCTAAGAAGCACAAGGAAGGCGAAAAGCTTCTCTAACTGAAAACACCAAGAGCTGCAGGGCTTCTGTGAAAGGCTGTTAAATTCAGTATTGATGTTGAGAGCTAAACTTGTTAAGTGCAGTTAAGAGCCATTTCCCCAAAAAACAATTCACATTTTCACCGGTATCATCACACCTAAAAGAAAAGCTTAATTCTGATCTTTGCCATTTACTGTGAACTTAGCGCTAAGAAATCAATAACAGACGGCTTAGCCTGTCCTCACAAATAGATTGTGATAAATGGTGCATCCTAAAAACTATCTGGAAACACCAGACGATCCACTTAATTGGCCAGCTGATTACCTGATTTATTTTTTTTTTCCCCAGGAGAAATGAATTAGCTCTACACGGGGGCGGATTTTTTTTTATTTTTATTTTTTAATCAAAATCTCTCAGAGTAAGGATGGTCATTTTGATCTTTTAAGATGCTTCTAGTATTTGTCATACACAGAGAGAATCCCAATCCCCCAAGTTTTAAAGGCATACCAAAAGTGCAGTAGGAAAAATGTACCTTTATGTTAAAGAAATCAGTGTGTCACTAATGCCACTCCAAACATCTCGCAGCTGGTTGACATATGATAGTGTAATTTCTCTATAATCAAGTAAATCAAGAGCAGAAAAAACATCCAGTCAGTGTTGGTGTTAGGTCTGCAATCAGACCTCACACACGAGGCAACTCAAAGCATGAACCCACTGCACTGGCAGGCTACTGTAACAGGTAGCTGTGCTTTTTCAAAAACACATTTATTATTCAGACTCATAGATTTCTGTGGATCTCAGCCATATTCTGGCCATCAGCATAGAGTACCCAAGAAAAGTCCACTTCACAGATTTTACCTGTTCTCATTACAGCCTCTGCTATCAGAAAGAATCAATGAGCTGAACTCCCTGTAATCTTCCCTGGCAAGGCCTGTATGATGCAAGTGCCAGACATTCACTGCAACATTCATGGGACAGTAAAGAAAAGATTACATATTTCATCCATGCTGGCATTCGCAGCACAACGTAGCCAACACTGCACAGGCACTCAACAGCGAGACAAATTCTTGAGGCAGTGGCAGGGATTCTGCCTCTCACTTGGGAATCACAATGATTTGGGTTGGAAGGGACTTTTAAGATCATGTGGTTCCCAGCCCCTGCTAT